CACTGTTTTACATCCTGCTTGATTAATATTTTCTTCCATTTCATGTTTCTTTGGACTTCAAAAGTTTAATTATTACTATTTAAGTATATTTTAGTAGGATCTAAAGGTCCCAGTCAGGGTCCTATTGTACTAGGTGTTATACAAACATGTAAATCTGGAGCTAAAGTGTGTGCTTGGTTGTGCATGCAACCCCCACTTCCCCCCATTAAATTCAACAGGAACTGCAAACATGTAGTTAAAGGCAAAACTATATGCCATGAGCTTTTAAGAAAGAAGAAATCTTTGACCAAGTTGTGAGCATGTATTCTCATGTGTATACTTGGCAAACCAATCTCAAACTGACATGCATCCAGCTGATAAATAGGGAGAATGTGGGCTTGTTGACTGGTCGTTACACAATTGTGGTGTCTCTTCCTACCCTGTCAGCTTTTGTTTTCAATAGCTTGCAATGGACTATTTAGACCATGTTACTTGTGACTGAAACATAAAAAAAAACTATAGCTAGAGGAAATCCTCCAAACACCAGAGTTGGTGCTTATTGTTTTGAACAGAGGACATGAATATACAGTAGTGATTAAGAACATCTTGAAGACAAGGCTGGTGGCTCTTTAGAGTTAACTTGACACACTCCTCAGTATTCAGAAGAATTTAAAATTAATGGATTAAAAACATATTTGATATTACAATTCTTGCACATGCAAAACTCCCATTGACTTCTGACCTGGACTTATATGCAAGGAAAGAATACACGATCGAGCCTTTATGGGTAGTCACAATGAAGGAAGGAGAAATGGACATATCTTAGGTACGGGGTTTAGACTGGATTCAGTTGTATTCCTGCCAATGTTAAGGCTGGTAATATAACTGCAAACTTGACCAACCTCATGGCTAACATTGGTAAGAAGCCTATATTTTAGTCCGTGTTGAGAAACAAATGCAATAATAGTAGCAGACTGGAGGCTCTGCAAGGAAATTAAAAATCTCTCACAATAGTTTTAGAGACTGAAAAAAATGTATTGACAAAAAAGGTTGCTGTTAATAATACATTAAATGATATATTCAGCTCACAAAAGGAAGCTAGGGAGAACTGATACAAAAAACTCCAAGATCATTTTCTAGGGGAAGAAGAAATAGTAAAAGAAACAAGCCAGGATCACATCAGGACATTCAAAAATGTTTTAAGAATGATCAAACTTTAGAAACAGAGACTCTCTCTTAGAATTCCAAAAGGAAGCAGCAAAGGAAATAAGGGAACATTTAACAGATACCTTTAAAATCTCTGGAAACCAGGAAAGCATCATAGTCAGAGTAGGAAGAGGGAATTGTAGCAAGCGGAAAATTGCACACGTAAATCTTGTGGGCTTTGAGATAACAAGACCCCTAGGTCTGTATTTTTTAAAAAAAGAAGAGACGAGATTAGGTGGATCAGCATAGTTGAGTTGGAATAAAACCAATGCTACCAGGCTATTCAAACAGTACCATGGAATTTCTATGGATAAGTCCATGCTTGAATAATAGGAGTATAACAGTAGGAATATACTCCTGACAACCTGACCAGGATGGTGATAGTGACTGTAAAATGTTCAGGAAGAAAAGAGAGGCTACAAAAACAGAAAACCCAGTAATAATGGGGATCTCAACTATCACCATGTTGCCTGGGAACATGTCACCTCAGGACAGGATGCAGACATAAAATTTCTAGACCCCATTAATGACTGCTTCTTGGAGAAAGGCAATTCTTGATTTAGTCGTAAGTGGAGCACAGGATCAGGTCCAAGAGGTGAATATAGCTGAACCATTCAGTAATAGCAACCATAATGGAATTAAATTTAACAGCCTCGTAAAGGGAAAATGCCAAAGAAACCCACCACAGTAGCATTTAACTACACAAAAATGAGGAGTGTAGTTAAATGGAAATTAAAAGGAACCAGAGTGAAATGCCTGCAATACAGCATGGAAACTTTAAAAAAAAACCATAATAGAGACTCAAACTGTATAATATGCCCCCAAATTAAAAAACAAAAAACAGGACGAGGACTAAAAAAATGTCACCAGGGCTAAATAGAGTAAAAGAAGCAGTTAGAGACAAAAAAGACATTCTTTAAAAACAAAGTCAAATCCTAGTCAGAAAAATAGAAAGGAACAAACTCTGGCAAATCAAGTGTAAAAGTTTAATTAGGCAGGCTCCCCAAAAATTGAAGAGTAACTAAAAAAAGAAACAAACAGCAAAAAAGGGGAAGAAGAAATAGTATATGAGAAGCATGAAGCCTGCCAAACAATCAGTGGGGCAACTGGATGAAGATGCTAAAGGAGCACTCCAGAAAGACAAGGCCATTGTGGAGAAACCAAATTAATTTTTTGCCTTGGTCTTCACTGCAGAGGATGCACAGGAGATTCCCACACCCAACCCATTCTTTTTAGGTGACAAATCTGAAGAACTGTCCCAGATTGAGGTTTTGGAACAAATTGATGAATTAAACTGTAATAAGTCACCAGGACCAGATTGTATTCACCCAAGAGTTCTGAAGGAACTCAAATATGAAATTGCAGAAATACTTACTGTGATATGTAATCTATTGCTTAAATCAGCCTCTGTGCCAGACGACTGGCAGATAGCTAATATATGATGATTTTTTTAAAAGACTTCAGAGGTGATCCTGGCAATTACAGGCCAATAAGCCTAACTTCAGTACCAGGCAACCTGGTTGGCACTACAGAAAAAAACCCAGGATTATCACACATGGTGGGGAAGAGTCAACATGACTTTTGTAAAAGGAAATCGCATCTCACCAATCTATTAGAATTCTTTCAGGGCATCAACAAACATGCAGACAAGGGTGACCCATTTGATACAATGTACTTTGACTTTTAAAAAGCCTTTGACAAGGTCTCTTACCAAAGGGTCTTAAAAAAAGTAAGGAATCCTGGGATAAGGGGGAAGGTCCTCCCATGGATCAGCAACTGGTTAAAAGATAGGAAACATAAGGTAGGAATAAATGGTCAGTTTTCACAGCGGAGAGAGGTAAATAGCATGGACCCCAAGGACCTGTATTGGTACTAGTGCTGTTCAACATATTCATACATTATCTGGAAAAAGGGGTAAACAGTGAGGTGGCAAAGTTTGCAGATGATGCAACATTACTCAAGTTAGTTAAGTCCAAAGCTGACTGTGAGGAGTTACAAAGGGATCTCACTAAACTGGGTGACTGGACAACAAAATGGCAGATGAAATTCAATGTTGATAAATTCAAAGCAATGCACATTGGAAAACATAATCCCAACTATACATACAAAATGATGGGGTATAAATTAGCTGTTACCACTCAAGAAAGATCTTGGAATCATCGTGAATAGTTCTCTGAAAACATCTGCTCAGTGTGCAGCAGATATCAAAAAAGCTAACAATCTTAGGAACCATTAGGAAAGGAATAGATAATAAGAAAGAAAATATCATAATGCCACTATATAATACATGATACGCCCATACCTTGATGAAGTCCTGGTTGCCCATCTCAATAAAGATAGATTTGAATTGGAAAAAGTACAGAGATGGGCAACAAAAATGATTAGGGGTATGGAACCGCTTCCATATGAGGGGAGATTAAAAAAGACTTGGAAAAGAGATGATTGAGGGGGGAATATAACAGAGGTCTATAAAATCATGAATGGTATAGAGAAAGTGAATAAGGAATATTATTTATCCCTTCAAACAACACAAGAACTAGGGGTCACCCAATGAAATTAATAGGCAGCAGGTTTAAAACAAAAGTAAGAAAGTACTGCTTCAAATAAACACACAGTCAACCTATGGAACTCATTGCCAGGGGATATTGTGAAGGCCAAATGTGTAACTGAATTAAAAAAAAGAGTTAAATAAATTCATGGAGGACAGGCCCATCAATGGCTATTAGCCAAGATGATCAGGGATGCAATTCCATGCTCTAGGTGTCCCTAAACCTGTGACTGCTAGAAGCTGGGCCAGGACAGTAGGGATGGATCACTAGATAAATTGCCCTGTTCTGTTCATTCCCTCTGAGGCATCTGGCATTAGCCACTGTCAGAAGACAGGATACTGGTCTAGATGGGCCACTGATCTGAACCAATGTGGCCATTCTTATTTGTACTCATGTCAAATAAGAATGAGGAAGGAGACACAAAAACTTAAGCTAAGACAACACTGGGCACTCAAAGGAATTTAAGCGGAACTTTTATACAGCAAGTTGTTAATATCTGGAAAGAAACTTAAGATATAGCTGTGCTCTGAACAAATATGATCGTGGAATTCTATATTTACTGTCATAAACTTCCACATCAATTTTGTTCAGCAGACAAGTAAAAAGATGTTTACTAAACTGCCAACCTTACGAATTCAAAATTGGATCTTAAAGTCAAGCTAAACTCTTTCCTTTTTATGTATCTTCACAGAAGAAATCAGTTTGACTTTAAAACCCCAGTTTGAGTGTGCAGGGTTGGCTTTTAGATAAGACTTTGTGTTACTTGTGTACTCAACAAGGTTGAGGTGGAATATTTGAGACAGAAACATGGAACCCCAAAATGCAGTTTTTAGAGAATAATTTTAAAGTGTGGTTCTACTCTGAAGAGAATTTTCTTTTTTAAATAAATTGGACAACCATTTGGACTAAAAAGAATTGTGATGTAATGAACGGAGAATGGATGTAGAAGCCAGACAACTATGAGATCTAATCCTGGCTCTGTTACTGGCTCACAGTGTAACCCACAAGTAATTTAACCTTTCTGCTTCAGTTTTCCCATCTGAGAAAAAATGAACACACTACCTAGAGGTGTTGAGAGGGTTAATATTTATACAATGCTTTCAATACGCAAAGCACTGTGAAAAAGCTAACTATTCTGGTAAAAGATTAATTTGCTATCTCAAGATGGACTTAGCTTCTCGGTTTCCTTCTCTCCTAAAGCTATCTTCTTTTTCCACATATTAAAAGAAAGAGAATGATAAACTATTAAAATGTAGGTACTCATACCTTTATCACTTCCATAATAATAGAAGACTGTTCTACTGAGAGCACACCAACGCTTCTGCCATTCAAAGCCAAGAAAACTGTGGTCTGCAATTAATACACAATTCATGTTAGATTGCTTTTAATACATATATTTAAGACAAATATATATATACAATGTGTATTTTCTTCAAAAGGGGAGAAAAGGAAAAGAGGGAGCTGTATGCAATCCAGAGGGAAAACTTGGAGTAAAAAGGAGAAGAGAACAAAAAAGAACTTGAAGATGGTAAACAGTACAGACAGGACAGTCTTGTGTAGTATTAAATATACAGAAACTATGAACAACTTTATAAATACCTTCTACAGTTGTAACGCAGCATTAAACAGGTGTTAAGATGAAAACAGAAGGATTTATTCAATCAAGATAAATATTGACCAAACCAAAGCTAAGCTCAATATTTGCTTTCTTGAAAGACAATAAATCTTGATGCTCCCCCAAACCTGAAGTCAACATATGCATTGTTACATTCTTCAAAAATACCCACAAGTCTCTGAATTATGTGTCACACTGGAAACTCATTGTCCCATCACAGAGCTCCTCACTTGACAACAAACCATGATTATTTTCTTGTACGTCACAATACAAACTATTTGAAGTTTCCTCTTTTAGCTAATGGTGTTGTGACAGATATGTTAATATCCTTGGGAGTCCTTATTGAATTAATTATGAATATATTTGGGATCCATTGTATTCAATGAATGGTTCATGTGTTATCATGGGCTGGGATTGTATGTAACCGCTGAAGGGGGAAGATGTGAGACCTGGGTATTCAAAGGACTATATTGAACAATGTCCCAGACAAGAATGGAATTTTGGAACAAAAAGGGTTAAGTGGTTTTCCTGGGTAATATTCAGGAGGAGGTGAATGCAAATTCCTCACCTCTGGTTGTGCACAAACCCAACCTGAAGAGTGGGCCTTTGTCTGATTATTACCTGTAATATGAAGCCTCAATCAATGGCCCAAGCTGTTTAAAGGAAAGGCTGAATGCTTTGTGGTTGTTCTAGTTCTGAATCTGAGACAGTTATGTACTTGTAACCAGGGGAAAACCTCTTTGTTGGTTTTGAAGACTGACATCTACCAGAGCCACAGGGGAGTTGAGGTGACCTCTAGTAAGCTTTTTAGCATGCATCTAGGTCAGGGGTAGGCAACCTATGGTACGCGTGCCGAAGGCGGCACGCGAGCTGATTTTCACTGGCACTCACACTGCCTGGGTCCTGGCCACCGGTCTGGGGGGCTCTGCATTTTAATTTAATTTTAAATGAAGCTTCTTAAACATTTAAAAAACCTTATTTACTTTACATACAACAATAGTTTAGTTATATATTATAGACTTATAGAAAGAGACCTTCTAAAAACGTTAAAATGTATTACTGGCAAATGAAACCCTAAATTAGAGTGAATAAATGAAGACTCGGCACACCGCTTCTGAAAGATTGCCGACCTCTGGTCTAGGTTCTTCTATTGTTTGTTAGGCTTGGTCTACACTAAACCCCCAAATCGAAGTAAGGTACGCAACTTCAGCTACGTGAATAACGTAGCTGAAGTCGACGTACCTTACTTCGAACTTACCACGGTCCACACCCGGCAGGCAGGCTCCCCCGTCGACTCCGCATACTCCTCGCGGCGAGCAGGATTACCGGAGTCGACGGGGAGCACTTCTGAGTTCGATTTATCGCGTCCAGACAAGACGCGATAAATCGAACCCAGAAGTTCGATTGCCTGCCGCCGAACCAGCGCGGTAAGTATAGACAAGCCCTTAGTGTTCTCTGTGATGCTTTTACCTTAAGAATAAATTTTTTTGCATAGAAAGGGCTGCGTGGTAACATAATGTGGGCAATTACGCTGTTTATAGCCTCCAAGGAGAGAGCAAAGTGCAGATACTGGCTGTTTAGGCCATCTGGCTTGCTAGGGATAATACAGTGTAGGCCAGAGAATGTGTAGCCTGGAAAACTCCCAGTCAGGAGGGAGAGAGACACAAGTGTCTTTGCCCAAGAGAGGTGATGGCTGAGGAGCTGGGAGCCTCGAGAGACCACAGAGGGGGAATACAGGTGCAAATGCCCCAAACTATGAGAGGTATCATGAGAACTCAATTTTTATTGCTTTTTCTTTCGGCCTTCTCCAAGTAATTTAGTGTGTACATACACACACACACACACACGCATATATAAAGTATATATTTTTCATTTAACATTTTTCATAAAGCCAGCTTACTTTACCTTTTCTACGTTTTTCAAGGTATCCAGACTTTAGAACAAATTGAAGGTCTTGAGCAGCAATAGGAGGAAACTGGTTCCCTGAAAGAAAAAAAAGTATTATAAACCACTCTGTTTTTCAAGCTAAACACTACTCTATCCATATTATTAAGAATTGGCAGTGCCAAGGAACTACTGGAAGAATAGAATTCTATTAAATACTATTCCAGATAATTTTTGGCTAAACAATCACAAGTATAATGACAAAGCTGTTGGCTGCATTGCTATGCCAATGCAGTGACAGGAAAATTATAGCTGTGAACCAGCCCCTCAAGTCTCCAAGGGGGAGGAATGGGGGGAATCTGTATCTACTTTCCAGACAAGATGAAAATTCAACATGTTACATTAATCTAGAGGATGTTAGTTTGCATCTTAAAATACACAGTTTAAAGTGAGCTGTTTAGTAAAATCAGAGTGTTTTCAAATGCTTGTATAGAAGCAAAGGTCCTTAAATACCTTAGATACAATTATTAACTGTAATTAAATGCAAAATTTAATTTTTAACCATCATCATCTCCAAAAGCCTAATAAAAATCTACTGCAACAGTCTACAAAGCTTGCACCCATGCCATGCTGTTTAGAAAGAAAGGAACCAGACGAAGGGATGATAAAAAGCAATGTCTTGTTATTGACAGATAACGTATAATTTGTGCTAAATTACGAAAGCACTGTTAAAACAAATAGACAGTACTTGAGGATATTGGACAGACAAGACAAACACACTGCTCACAAACTGCCCAAGTTGCTTCTCTTTTAGAAGTATTGTTATTTTTTGTAAAACGACCAATGTGTTCAGTTATATTTGTACTCCCCCTCCCCCAACTGTTAGCTCACAGCTAGAAGTGTGAGATTCTAATATTCGGGATTAAACTGGAAACCTAGACACAAAGAACTTATTTAACAAATTAGTTTCAAATCTTCACAAATGTGGAATCAACTTTTTAAAATTCTAAAATACTAATATAAAATATAAAGAGCAGAAATACAGCTTTAGACATGCCTGACCATTCATGTATACAAATGTCCAGTTTTTCCACAAGTACAACAGCCATTCCTGTGGGGGGGAGGGTTAATACATTTGAGCATCAAAGTGTAGTTTTCCCATTACTTATTATCATTAAATATTCATATTAAAGTCACTGTAGGTGGCAAATTTACATGGAAATTTTTTTTTAATCAAAATTTTATACGTAACCTTGTTAGTAATACAGTGAAAACTACACTAAGGATCACAATCAGAAAACTACTTTGTTAAGAAACAACTGTGAAATATCCCATCTGGAAACCAATTTGTCTGACCTTGAGCTAAACACTGTCTCTGCTAGGTAACCAATGCCTGCTGGGCCCTTGGGTGGTCACTTAACACAGGATTCTAACTATACTATTCTTCTTTGGGTACTGGTTTTGTTAACAAAAGATATTTGTGATAGGGCAAGAAAAATGTTAGCGAGAACAAGAGCAAACAAATTACCGAAGACTACAAAAGAAATGTACCAAAGAGGGGAATATACTCCCCTGAGAAATCCAAAACTTTTCAAACAGTAAAAACAAAATATATGGTTAAGTTACAACCAATGTAGCAAAGCGTATTAAAATTCCAGTTATTAAAAAATTGTGCTTTGACATTCACTATTACAGGGAAACCCCGCTATAATGCACCCCGCAATAATGTGAATTCGGATATAGCGCGATCATAAGGTGGCTCCCGCTGCCCCAAGCGCGCGCGCACACACAAAAAAAAAAATCGAAAAAAACCCCACACACCGGCCGGAGCACAAAAAAAAAAGGGAACGTGCCTTCCCCACTGCCTCTTCCCCCTGCTTCTCCTTTTGGCAGAAAGAGCCATTCTCCTCCCCAGCTGCTCCTCACTCTTCCTCTGCCCCTTGCACATCTCTCCTGCTCTCTGCCCAAGAGAAATTGACCGGCTTGAAACTGACCGGCTTTAAATGGTAAACTTTTCATAACCCCGCTATACCGTGACCCCGCATTTATCGCGATCAAATTTTTTTGGACACCAATCATTGCGTTATACCAGGGTTTCACTGTACTTTTTTATTTCTAAATAGTTCGCATTAAGATTATTACATTACACCAGTGGTTCTCAACCAGAGGTCCGGGGCCCTCCTGGGGGCCACAAACAGATTTTAGGGGGTCCCAAGCAGGATTAGTATTAGACTCACTGGGGCCCAGGACAGAAAGCTGAAGCCCTGGGCTATGAGCCCCACCCTGAGCCGGGCTGAAGCCTCATCAATTTAGCTTTGCGGGGCACCCTGTGGCATGGGGCCCCTGGCAATTGCCCTGCTTGCTACCCCCGAACGCTGGCCCTGCCTTCTATATGCAGAAAAACAGTTGTTGTGGCACAGGTGGGCCGTGGAGTTCTTATAGCATGTTGGGGGGGCCTCAGAAAGAAAAGGGTTGAGAACCCCTGCCTTACATCATCATTATTTCCACTCCTGTGGAATTTATGACTAACATATTAAAAACAAAAAAGAGTTATGTACCACATGCATGAAAGTATGTGACCACAAAAACTGCGTCTGGGAATTTAACTCAGGACACTCACTAGTTCATTAGTTAAGAAGCTGATCTAGTTAGTACATCAAAATAATAACTGGTTATTAAATTGCTGAAGATAAGCAAATAGTTTCTGGCTAAAGATCTACAGCTATTGGGCTGATATACCTTAACTCACCCATAGCTGTACTGAAAAATTATCCATTTCACAATGAGAATCTCTGACTGTTGTCTGGGAACGGATGGGGGAGGAGGCTTCAGAAACAGCCTTGGTGCGCTGCCTTAAATTGGTCATTGGGAGGCATCAGCGTGCAACACTTCCAGCTTTACCTACTCCATGAAGGCTTGTTATACACTAGACCAAACACTGCAACAACAAAGGTGGGGGAAGGGAAAAACCTAATCTGTCAAACACATTAACCACTGTTGCTTCATTTTTAAGCACAAGAGCTTCAAAACATTATCTGGATTCCAATTTTATGCAAGGTTTTAGTTTAGATTTGTTTTGTTTTTTTCTCTCTCTCTTTTCTTTCTTTCTTTTTTTTTTTTTGGAGAGGAAGTGAAATTTGCAGGGGGTTAGAATATAGCATCTATAAGAAGTATCAGACCAATAGCCATGGACAATGAAGACCTTTATCTACAGATCAAGAAAAGCACCCACAGTGATTTCTCCATACTGTCCTGACCATAGCTGGAACCTGATCTGGACTGCCTGCCTTCAGTGGAATAGAGGAGTTCAGGCTCCATAGCAATTCCATGCTTATCTCTGCTGAGATTGCCAAGTTAGTGCCAACTGTAGAGTAGTAGTTTCGGGGATGCAGAGATTAGCCTGTAGAGAACTAAAGTGAAAACAAAGTTATTTCACATAGGGCATTGAACAGCCTACTGCGTGGAAAGCTACAAGTAACAGCAGAGGCAGGTACTCAATACCATGCTTCTTCTGGGTTATGGTGTGAGGAGGAGTCTCTCTTCTCTTCCCTTACCCCCAACTAAGTAGTGCAGAACTGAGAACCCACCCAGGTTCAGCTGCTCACTGCACTATGAACAGCAGATCCACCAAACAAGAAGCTGGTCAGTTTGACTAGAGCTCAAAATCTATGGCAGTGGAAACTGACCAGATACTTGTCAATTTCATGCTGCAGCCTGGAAAGTCTTAGAACAGAAGCAGGGTGGCAATGGTGGGAGAGAAAAAGACAACACACAGAGCAGAGATTTGGCAAAGTTTCCTTTTTCTTTCCCCTCTACAACCGGAAAGAGTATTAAGAACCAACAGGGCAAAGGAGAAAGAATAAGGAGCATCCCCATTCAGATCTCACTAGCTGTAGGTGTGTGTATGTGGTGAGGAGAGGGAAAGCATCAAAACTTAAGCTTCCTTCACATCAAAATGAGAAGTGAGAGACTGAAACCTTGTCCCACAGCAACTGGCTGGACCCTGCTGAGGAGATTCCCAATCTTTCTATTCTGCTCCCATTCCTGCCCCCATCTCCCCAGTTGTTACTGCCTTCTTGTGTGTATTAAATAAATACATGAGAGGAAGGGGTAACAGAGGTTTAAAACTTTCAGATGTGGTATTTTCAAACTAAAAATCTCAAAGTATATTAAATATGTACAGCAGCTACTTTTCATCAGAATACTGTTTCCCTGTTTATTTTAAATAGACCAGGTTTGCCACAAAGCTCTTAAATACTGCTAATGGAAGCCCACTGAAGTAACATTTTATTTTTATTACAGTCACAGCTAGAGGCCCCACCGGAAATCAGGGTCCCATTGCACTAGGTCCTGTAACTTACACAAATTATGACAGTCCCTTCTCTAAAGAGACCAAATTCTGTCACAAGACAGACAGAGGCAGTGAGAAATGGCGTACTAATATTTTACAAATAAGGAACTGAGGCACAGAAAGATTAAGTGACCTGTCCAACATCATGCAGGAAGTCTCTAGCAGTCATGAACTAAATCCAGAACTCCCAAGTCCCATTTCAGTGACCTAATAATTTTTCTCAAGACCATCCTTACTCTCCTCTGAGATTAAAACATCCTGATATGGTCCAACTTTTGAGGGAAGGTTAACTCAGACCCCCCAGTATACAGCTTAATATGAAGGAAGACCAATTGCTTCATGTTTTTCCTTCTCTTCACTCACCCACCCATAGACAGAGAGGAATCTCCCAGTGCAGTTCTCTACCTGATCCTGTTGGGCAGTGCTTCAGGCTTGCCGTTCTCTTTCATGGCTTCCCTAGGAGTATTTTCTCCTGAGGAAGCCCTGCAGGTGGCAACTGCTTAGGCCTGAAGTGCTCCTGATTAGAGAAGCCACATGCATAATCCAAGAGTGATGTTTACAAAGGTCATCAAAATATCAGAAGAGGATGCTTACAAGGCCTCTCAAACTCCACAAATTTGTCTATTTTTAATTTTGCTCTATATTCTTCATATTTTATATAAAATGGACCAGATTCTCTCCCTTGTTTCTGGCCTCTTTGTGCCATCTAAGAAGCTGGCAGCTTCTATATGGCTTTAGCAGACAGGCG